CTACCCTCGTAGGTTTTAATGGCCTAATGGCCTTGCCGGGACGGACCCGGGCTTCGCCTACCCTCGTAGGTCTTAATGGCCTAATGGCCTTGCCGGGACGGACCCGGGCTTCGCCTACCCTCGTAGGTCTTAATGGCCTAATGGCCTTGCCGGGACGGACCCGGGCTTCGCCTACCCTCGTAGGTCTTAATGGCCTAATGGCCTTGCCGGGACGAACCCGGGCTTCGCCTACCCTCGTAGGACTTAGTGGCCTAATGGCCTTGCCGGGACGGACCCGGGCTTCGCCTACCCTCGTAGGTCTTAATGGCCTAATGGCCTTGCCGGGACGGACCCGGGCTTCGCCTACCCTCGTAGGACTTAGTGGCCTAATGGCCTTGCCGGGACGGACCCGGGCTTCGCCTACCCTCGTAGGTCTTAATGGCCTAATGGCCTTGCCGGGACGGACCCGGGCTTCGCCTACCCTCGTAGGACTTAGTGGCCTAATGGCCTTGCCGGGACGGACCCGGGCTTCGCCTACCCTCGTAGGTCTTAATGGCCTAATGGCCTTGCCGGGACGGACCTGGGCTTCGCCTACCCTCGTAGGACTTAGTGGCCTAATGGCCTTTCCGGGATGGACCCGGGCTTCGCCTACCCTCGTAGGTCTTAATGGCCTAATGGCCTTGCCGGGACGGACCCGGGCTTCGCCTACCCTCGTAGGTCTTAATGGTGCACGTGTTTCTGAATGAAAAAGGATGCTTCATTTCATAGAAAAGATTAGCCTGCCGGTACAACGGCTATCCGGCTAGGCCAAGATTACAATGGGTCTAGAAAATAAACACTACATAGTCTAGGAGCAACAAGATGCTAGAAAATAAATCTAATGGTGAAAGAGTGTAAGGTTCTCTGAGTTCCACACTCTGTCTACGATCTTCCCGGTTGTCATTTGTAATTTGTAGGATCCAGGGCGTATGACTGCCGACACCACATACGGGCCTTCCCAACCCTGTGACATTTTCCCGCCCTCTAGCGGGCGGCTGGCTTCTCTTTTCCTTAACACGTAATCTCCTACTTGAAAGTACCTTGGTCGGTCTCGAGCATCATGGTACGCCTTTGCTTTCTTTTGGTACTCGATTACTCTCTTCGCGACCTGTTCTCGCCTTTCTTCGACGGTGTCTAACTCAACCGCCATCATTTCTTCATTGGTATCAGGATCGAACTCCTTTTCCCGAGCGGTCGGTAACCAGGCCTCAACCAGTAGTCTAGCCTCCGCGCCATAGACTAGTGCAAAGGGGGTTTCTTTTGTTGCCTCTCGTGGGGTCGTTCTATACGCCCATAGGATATACGGTAGCTCGTCCGCCCAATTTCGTCCCGCCGAGTACAGCTTCTTCTTCAGTCCTTCTAAGATGGTCCGGTTGGCGTTCTCGACTTGGCCGTTGCCCTGAGGGTATGCGACGGATGACTTTACCGCCTTTGTACTAATTGTTGCAAGGAAGTTCGAGAAGTAAGTCCCTTCAAACTGCTTGCCGTTGTCTGTGACCAGTTGTACGGGGACACCGAATCAAGAAACCACATTGCGCCAGAGGAACCTGGCGCATTGCTGTGACGTGATGGTCGCCAAAGGTTCCGCCTCGATCCACTTCGAGAAATAATCGATTGCCACGATGATGAACCTCTTCCGCCCGGCCACCCGGGTGAACGGGCCGACTATGTCGACGCCCCACCTTGCGAAAGGGATGGCCGTGCTGACGGGCTGGTAAAAGGTAGCCGGTCGACCGGGAACTTTGGCGAAGACTTGGCATGCCTCGCATTCTCGGGCTACCCTCTTGCAGTCTAGTTGAATTGACGGCCAGTAGTATCCTATTAGCATTATTCTCCGCGCCAGGGCCTTACCGCCCTGGTGCGCCGAGCAGATCCCCGAATGGAGCTCGGTCATCACCAGGTCAGCTTCGAAGTCGTTTAGGCATCTCATCAGCGGGCCACCATACGACCGTCGGTAGAGCCGGCCGTCCATCACCTGGAAACGTGGCGCCCTTAGCTTGACTTTTTGGGCCCTCTCTGCGTCGTCGGGGAAGCGATCCTCGGTTAAATATCGCATCAGGTCTGTAATCCAATTCTCTTCCGGTGGTGCTACCGGGGCAACTTCTAGCACGTCAATAGATGCCCGAGTCAGTTATTCTACGCGCGCTATTTTGGAGATGTGCTCGGGGGCTTCCTGGGCGAGCTTAGATAGAACGTCAGCGTCCACGTTTTCTGCCCGGGGAACGTGCTCAATTGTATGGCCCTCGAAGTCCGCGAGGATCGCTAATGCCCAGTTTCTGTATTGTACCAATCGGTCCCCGTTGGCCTCGAAGTTCCCTAGAACCTGCCCGACTACTAAGGCGGAGCCGGTTCTCGCCCGGACGTGTTGCGCGCCGAGATTTCTGACGTACTGGAGGCCGGCAATGAACGCCTCATACTCGGCCTCGTTGTTGGTAGGGGAAAAGGAGAAGACCAAGGCGTAGTACAATTTGATCCCCTCTGGGCTAGAGCCGTCAAAAATGGGTTTTTCCCACCGGGTCGATCCGTCCCGTACCGCCGTAGGTAGGGGATGGGTTCTTCAAATTTTGATCCGCCAGGAGGCGGGCTTTTTAGCCCGTCCCGCCTGGGTCACGGGTTCAGGCGGGGCGGGTCAGGCGGGTCACGGGTTTAGCCCGCGATCTGCTAATACATATATATTTAGTATTTAATACATGTTATTTTGGTTTGTGTAATAGTGTTAGTGTGGTTATAACTTATAGATTTATAGGAATACAATACTAGGTAGTGTTACTGTGTTAGTGTACTGTATGTCTGTATAATGATTCTTTTTTCTTTTTGTTTTTTAAAGGATATTATACATTGATTTTTTTTTTTTTAAATAATAACACAATAAAAAAATCGATTGGCGGGCTAGCCCGCCCCGCCAGCGGGCTTTGACATGGCGGGGCAGGCCGGCCGCATTCCAAGTCCGCTAAGAGGCGGGCTTTTTAGCCCGTCCCGCTACGAGGACGGGCTTTGGTATTTTTTGGCCCGTCCCGCCCCGCGAGACCGTTTCGACGGCTCTACTCTGGGCTGGTGATAACTATTCCTCCACCCGCTCCTCTCTTACTGCTTGAGCCGTCCGTTGCCAACTCCCACCACTGCTCGTCCGGGCCCGGTTGTGTCGTCGTATCGACTTCCCAAGCCGTGCACTCTACTACGAAGTCGGCCAGTGCCTGGCCTTTGATCGCCGGCCGGGGTCTGTATTCCATGGCAAACTGTGTCAGCATCAGGGCCCATTTGACCAATCGGCCGGATGAGTTGGAGTTCCGAAGGACGGACCCGATGGGTTGGTCCGTGAGCACTCGAACTGTTCGGCCCTGAAAATACGGGGTGAGCTTGTTGGCGGCCATGTATAGGGCATACACGACCTTTTCCAGCCAGGAGTATCTGGTTTCTGCCCCGCTCAGGGCGTGACTGACGTAGTAAACCGGTCTTTGGACGTTGTGCTCGTCAGTTCGGCAAAGGACTGCACTGACTGCCTTGTCGGACACCCCTAAGTAGACATCTAGATCTTCGCCCGGCTCCGGCTTTGAGAGCACGACCGGAGACATAAGGTACTCCTTCAGTTGCTCAAAAGCATCCTGGCAATCCCGATCCCATTTGAAAGCGTTCACTTTCCTCAGTGTCTTGAAAAAAGGCAGGGCCCGCTCGGCCAGTTTAGAAAGGAAGCGACTAAGTGCTGCTAGTCTTCCGGTCAGCTGCTGGACCTCCCGAACGGTAGTGGGGGGCTGCATGTCCAAGATTGCCTTGACCTTAGCCGGGTTTGGTTCGATGCCCCTCTTGGTCATCATGAATCCTAGGAACTTCCCGGTCTGCACCGCGAACGTGCATTTCGCCGGGTTTAGCCTCATCTGGTGGTGGCGTAAAATCTCGAAACAAGCCCAAAGATCATGGGCGTGGTCCTCCCGCTTGAGGCTCTTGACGAGCATGTAGTCGATATATGCCTCCATGGTCTTACCGAGCAGGTCTTCGAACAACATGTTTATCATTCTCTAGTACGTGGCCCCTGCGTTGCATAAGCCGAAAGGCATCACCCTGTAACAGTACAGGCCGTCCGGCGTGACAAAGGATGTCTTCACCTCATCCTCTTCCGCCATCATTATCTGGTGGTACCCTTTGAAGGCGTCCATGAAGCTCATCAGTTCAGACCCGGCGGTCTCGTCTACCATCTGGTGGATACTTGGCAACGGGTACGGGTCGAGCGGGCACGCTCGGTTGAGGTCCGTGTAATCAATACACATGCGCCATGCAGGTGGCTTGGGTACTAGGACAACGTTAGCCACCCAGTCGGGGTAAACGACTTTCCGGATATGCCCGATTGAGCTTAGCGTCCTGACCTCCTGCCGAACGAACTCCCTTCTGTCGACCGACAAGTGTCGTTGCTTCTGCTTGACAGGTCGTGCGGTAGGGTTCACTGTTAGGTGGTGACATATAGTCGACCGGGCTATCCCGGGCATATCCTGTGGTCCCCAAGCGAAAACGTCGGCATACTCCTTTAGGACTTCTATGATCGAGCTCCTCAGGTCTGGTGTTAGGGCCGTGCCTATTCGGACGGTCTTCTCGGGGAATTTGTCAGATAGTCGGATCTCTTCAACCTCCTCCGCCGGTTCAGGCTGCTCCCTGGTCATAACTTTACTGCCGTTTGCTATGGCGTTTACTCTGGATGAACTGCCCTCACTCCTCTGTACTGCTTTTACGTAACACTTCCGGGCCGACCGGACGTCGCCCCTTAGCACACCAACTCCCGCCGGCGTTTGGAACTTCATGCACAGGTGCGGCATGGATATGATTGCTCCGATCTTGGCAATTCCCGGTCGGCCTAGGATCACGTTGTGGACGCAGGCGAGGTTCACCACGATAAATTCCATGTCCGTCTTCGTCACCCTGGGATAAGTGCCCACTTCTACAGGTAACCTGACTAGACCCTCTGGTTCGATAGTGGCTCCAGTGAAGCCGGACAACTAGGTGCGGACCGGGGTCAATTTTTCCTTATCCAGCTTCAGCTTCTTAAAGACGTCCAGGTAGAGGACATTCACACTGCTACCGGTATCGACCATCACCCTTTCAACGTCCACGACGCAAACGTCTATCGTGACAATTAGTGCTTCAGTCCCGTGATCGAGATTTCGGGGCAGGTCGTCGTCGGTAAAGGCGATGGGTTCGGCTTTCAAGCGTTTTTCCGGTCGGGCCTCTTCTACCAGCCCGACTTGTAGACTTTGACACCACCTGTGCCTGTCCTCCGTGCTGTCACCGCCCTCCGGGCCACCGAAGATTATGTGAATCACCTGCTTGGAACCCGCGGACCGAGGTTCCTCGTCGGGCTCTTGGGCCTTATCCTTCTTGTCCCGGCCGGTTCTTTTGAAGAACTTTTTCCATCTCTTCCCCTTTTCCTTTTTTTCGGTGAACTGTGTCAATTCCCCCTCTTTCAGGAGGTCTTCGATTACTTCTTTCAAAACCCGGCATTCGTCCGTCGTATGCCCCCGGTTACGATGATATGCGCAGAACTTGGAGGTATCCCGGCCATCACGTCCGGGCTCTGGTAGTTGAATCAGGTTACAGCCCTGTGCGTAATCGAGGATCTCCGTCACTGGCCGGGTGAGCTTGGACAGGTCCCGGGGGGCCTGCTGACGGTCCCCGCGCTTGGGTTCCGGCCGATTGTCGTGCCGGGCCGATCCCGATTCTTGACGTCGCTTAGCGGAGTTGGCTTCCATAGCGTTCGCGTGGTCGGTGACCCGTCGGATCGCCTCATCATATGATTGCGAAGGGTGGACGATGAAGTCCTGGTATAGAGCTCCTGCTCGAAGCGAGTAGTGTAGGACGTTTATGGCCGTCCTGTCGTCCATGGGCTCCACCTCACCAATGGCGTTTTTCCATTTGACCAGGAAATCGGCCAAAGACTCGCCCTGCAATTGCTTGGCGGCTTCAAGGTGGGTGAAGTGCTTTCGGACCGTCCGGGACATCGCGAAGCGGCGGATGAACTTGGTGGACAGGTCTGCGAAGCACGCGATGGACCCCGGTTCGAGAGATTTGAACCATTCTGCTGCTCGCCCTGAGAGCGTCTAGAAGAAGGCTCGGCAGATAACGGCGTCGGATATGCCCATCATGATCATGTTTCCATAGAAGGAGTTGACGTGCTCCTCTGGGTCTGTTTTCCCGGTGTAGTCTTTCGATCCTGGGACCCGGAGATCAATTGGGTACGGCTGCTACATTATTTCACTAGAGAAGGGAGTCCGTAGCAGCGTGGTATCCAGGGTTGGGACTTGCGATGTTTGCTCCTGCTTCCACTGGTTGAACTCCCGACGAACCTGCTCCATGATCTCGCGCGGGACCCCGGTTGGCCTATTTGGCGGGTTATCTCGTCGTTGAGTGCTCCTAGACGAGCTCACCTCATCTGAGTCCGTGCCTCGGCTGGACGTCATCCGGTCTAGCGACGCCCTTCTCCCCGTTGGTCGGGCGGGGCGGGGCGAATCCGTGGGCTGCAACCTGTCAAATGCACTTGTCCGGGGGACTCGCTCTTCCGAATGGTCGACCGAACCTAGGCGGGTTCGGGCCGGTCGGCGCTGGGACCGAGCAGCTTCTGGTTGAGGGTTCCAAGGTCCTCGTGGCGACTGAACCCCGCCCTCGTCATGCTCGCTCGCTCCCGGGCCGAAGGCGGGGGCGGCGACCCGGTAATTGTGCACCGGGCTGTACATCTGCGGCGGGTACATTCCCGGCATCGGAGGCTGCGGGTATACCGGGGGGTAAAAATGCGGAGCATTGGCCCACCACTGATATGCCGGGTCCACGAATCCCGGGACAGCTCCCGGGGCTAGGTATGTGGCTTGAATTGGGATATCCTTGTAAGCGGCTTCCGCCGGCCTTACGTTCGCCGGTTCTGGCGGCTGGAGCGCTCCTTCGGGTGGTTGATTGAGGTCCATTCGGGCATTCAGATGCGCTCGTAGGTCTGGTTAGGCGTCATCAGCCTCTTCGCCAGTGTTGAGGAAGTCCATAAAGGGATACATGTGGAGGAGATCGGCAAAGACGTCTGGTTTTTGTACCGGTCCCCACGGACGGCGCCAAATGATGTGGATAAAATAACCGTGTATTGATACGTGTAGGTTACAATAGAGTTACAGACAGACTGGTCGTACGCAATGACCGGGGTCCTCTCTAATCTCGTAAGTAGCCTAATCCAAAAGTCTCTCTCTCTAGCATTTAATGCAGTATTTATAAGGGTCATGGGGAAAAGCATCCGGCCTTCCGGCATGTCGGACACGTGGTGAGCATGCACTGGGCTCTGGGGAGGCGAGCATGCAGCCGTACGCGTGGCAAGCATCTCCTGCCGCTGGCACTGCCCATCCCGTCCCGGCCGTCTCGCCCGCTTACCGGCTAGTCACTGGTAGGGCCTTAGATCGCTCCAAGCCGAGAGGCGGACAGGGCAACCGGGCAGGAAACCGCATCGAGCTCGTCCGGGCAGGATGACCGGGCAGACCGTATGCCCGGGGTATATTCCCTATCAGCACACTTTTTTTTTATTTTCAATGGTCCAATACAATTACATATAGTGTAAAAGTTCAGTGATCTATTTGACAATTTTTTCTTTATATAATTGACATATAGAATAAGACTCGACTGGAATTTTTTACAATTTAAGTTTTAATAATATTTTTTAAAGAAAAGAATATTGTATCAATATAATTTAAAAAGTTTTGGAGTTACCTAGGATAAAGCGGAAAGCTTTTTGCATTCATTTTTTGTTGTGCCTGGTATAATCGACACTGGTATTGATTGACATCTTAAAATCTTATTTTAATTAATTATTTCTTAATATATTTTGTATAAAAATTCTATTACACACTGAGAAAAAATGATGAATTTGAAAATTTTAAACAGATCATTAAAAAAAATAAGTGAATAAAATAAGTGAATGCGCCATATAAAATTGGATAGAGAGGGCATTGTTAATTCACCATATCTATATTTATATATATTAAAACAGAAGTGATTTTTTATAATACTTAATTGATCTCTTTTTTATATTTTATTCTAACTAATTAAAATTTTAATAATATAGATCAAATAAATTATATTACTTAAACTTTGTAATCAATCAAATTAATATATATGAAATATTATAATCTTGTATATTTTATTATGTAAATTTCGTAAAGAGTCAAAATAATATATATATATATATATATATATATATATATATATATATATATATATATATATAGAATCCAGTGAAACCCCCCAATCTGGTGAGTTCGTGAGCTTTCATCTCATTCGTTTATTTTGATTTTTTTAACGACTCAGATTTGGGAATTTAATCTCCAACGTGGGCTTGTGTATTGTAGGAAGGGGTTGTTTTGTCTTTTCGCATTATGTTTATTATGTTATGTATATTATCTGGCGGGTTTTTGGGCGTGTGTTTAGATATATTAGGAATCTGTCTTTTCTTCTCTCCCTTTCCGTCGCTTCATATCCTCTGCGGACGTTCCAATCGCTGAAGAGAACCTTTCATCTTCCGTTCGGTTCACGCCATCTAGTAAGAAGTTGGGGGTTTTTTTTTTGTTTGTTTTTTTTTTCTTTTTTTTTTTTTTCCGGTGCAGGGGGTTACAGTGTGTTGTCTCAGGGTTATTCATGGCGGGTTCGAGCACTAGGGGGTCTAAACGACTGAGAGCCAACTCTTCCAGTTCAACGCCAGGTATTCTGTTTTTCCGAGAGTTTTTCTTTGATTTTTTTTGGACGTATTTTTTATTTTCGGTTAGGAATATAGTTCGTTTTTTCTTTTTGTGTATGTTATCTACTGGTTTGTTGTTTTTCTTTATGATCTGTAGGCTTTTTGTTTTAAAAATTTCAGTTTTGCTGGTTGTGCATGTGTGTTTTTGGGTAGTTTTTTCTCTGGGAGATGGGGTTTTCGCATGGTGGTTGTGTGGCTGGTGTGTTCGGCGGCGGTTGGCGGTAGAGTTGGCGTTCCCAGGATAAGTGAGTTAGAACTTGCAACACAACTACAACAAAATTTTGGTTCTTGATTTTAAAATTATGTAAGTCTTGTAGTCAACTACTTCTCTTGGTTCAAAATTACTTAAAACCTAACTCATATATATAACTTTTTCAATGGCACAGGCACGCCAAAATGAAATAGAGAACAAGTATATATGTGATTTGTCAAAAAGGCCACTGAGAACTGTGAAATCGTATCCTGTGTATTTTGTCAACGGGTATAGATTTCACACTCAGTCACACGGTGAGAATAAATCAACAATGAACAGTGGTGTTTGTGTAAGCACTTGTGATGATTACTATGGCAAGTTGATGGAAATATTAGAACTTGAGTATACTGCCTTGCCAATTAAACGCACTGTCTTGTTCAAATGTGAATGGTATGACCCAACACCTAATGTTGGAGTTAAGGTTCATAACCGATATACTTTGGTTGAAATAAATCAACGGAGTAGGTTTAACAAATTTGAGCCATTTATTTTAGCAATGCAGGCTATTCAAGTTTGTTTTGTTTAAAAAAAAAAAAGTTTGTTTTGTTTCATACCCTTGTATGAGACGAGATAAAGTTGATTGGTTAGTTGTGTGTAAAGTTCAACCTCGGGGATGGATAGAATCTTTCAAAAAGGAAAATGGTCAAGTGAAAGATACTGCTTTTCAAGAAAAAGAAGTTGAAGAAACTGAAATTGCAAGTGCTGTGGATGATGATTCTTTAGTTAGGTTAAGTGATGAAAATGTCGAATATATCGACATTCCTGACGACAATTCAGATAACAATGAAGAGGAAAATGATGAGCTTGAATTTGACTCTAGTTCATCAACTAATGAAGATGAAGATAATGATTGTTATGATGATGATGATGACGACGACGATGATTATGAAAATTAGAGTTTATGTAGGTAATTCAAAAGTAATGCTTAATAAATATATATTATATGAAACACTAATATATATATATATATATATATATATATATATATATATATATATATATATATTACATTTTTCATATTTTTGTAGGAAAGATGCCAAGAGGACGTGGAGGTCGTTTTGTAGCTAGACTATTGCCAATAAATGTTCTACCACATAATGGAAATCACACATCATCATCGGCATCAGCATCAGCATCGATTCCCATAGTAGCATCAAGACCCTTATCACCATCCACGCCATCTACAGCTACTAATAATGGTCAGGCTGGACAAGATGTTGTTAGGCAACAAGGTGATGCACACAGCATAATTCTAAAGCAACACAAATGCCACGGTCGTGCAAACATGAGTTTCTTCAGAAATCTAGCTTGAATTTAAAAATAAAAACCCACATACAACAGATACCATGCACTAACTTCTATTCACCAGGTCCGGATGGCCTTCCCCCGGATTTCTTTCAATATTATTGGAATATTGTGTGGGTGTGGGTGTGGGGTGGGGGTGGGGGGGGGTGGTGGTGGTTGATTTATGAGAAAAATTCATGAGGACCAAAACATTTCCACCAGTCACTAACTCAACCCATATTCACTTATTCCAAAATTCCCAGGTCAGCCTATACAACCGATTTGAGACCAATTGTTCTTTGTAATGTCCACTATAAAATCCTAGCCAAAACCCTTGCAAACATAATTAAACCCCTCATAAATAAACTCATATCCGAATCTAAGTGTGCCTTTGCCCCGAATAGATTAATTACTGACAACCGCCTTCTAGATCATGAAACTCATCACTATATGAATAGGAAAACTCAACGGAAGGTGGGGATGTGGGGCTGAAAATTGATATGAGTAAAGCTTATGATAGAGTTAACTGAAATTTGGTGGGAGGAATTCTGATTAAGTTTGGGTTTAGTGAGGAGTTTATGAAGACGATTTCTGTGTGTATGCGGCCTGTTTAGTACTCTATCATTCATGAGGGACAGTGCCTAGGGGCCTATTTTGCCTAGGAGTGATTTAAGGCAGGTGATAAGTGCAAAAGACACTCT